TGGATTGACAGTAGTTTTGTCGCATTGTTTGAAACTAAACCCGTTTGTCTGTTTTATAGTATTCCAGTCTTGTTTGCATTTCACCTGTCTTGTTTGTCAGTATACCTGTCTTGTTTGTCAGTATTCCCGTCTTGTTTGTCAGTATTTCCGTCTTGCGTGTCTGTATACCTGTCTTGTTTGTCGAGTAGGAACCATGTTCCGTACTGAAGTACCTGATTTCACTCAGTTGTTTGATAGGGTTTGTGTTTCTCAATGTGTAGTTTTCTTTTAAGTGTTTATGTACTGTTGTTTACCTTTTGGTCCTTTTTCTTTTGATTAATTTTAAGCTCTCAAAAGGTTATACATACAGTACTGTTAACGATGCATTTTTCAATAACTCCGATTACGGTAATTACGTATTTGCAATATTCAATTTCTCCACGTGTCCTATATAGAACTGAACTCTTTGTAATCAAAAGAAGAACAATGCTGTACATTTCATGACGATATGTTAGGCTCTATAATTATTGATTCTTATTTCAGGCATTGAAAATAAAACAGAAGTTCATTCTTCCGGAGTTTCAAATGCATTACTTAAAGAAATCATTATTCTAAAAGCTACTTACATTTGAAAAATAGATAATATCATTTATTTATCTCACTCATTGATTGAAATTTTTCTTTTACAAATCATTGTATACAAGTAAAAATGTTTTTCTCTATGTTATTTAATTTTACGGGGGATGCAGCCGAAATATTTCGTGGGCTAGAAGTTCCTTTTATAATACTTTATTGTATATATAATGGTGAAAAAAAAACACATAATCACTGCCAGGTTATTGTTTTGTTTCTTACAGAAATATATTACTTCATATTTTATACAGATCTGTTTCATCTACTTCAGTTTTTTCTGACTTTATTGTGTTTTAAGGACATATAACATACCCTTATTGCTCTTACTGGTTACTCTATTAGCTAAAATAATTTAAAAAAAGATATTTCTGATACAAGAATTAAACGTGTCAGGAAACAATTCGATCGATCGATCGATCGAGAGATCGAGAGAGAGAGAGAGAGAGCATCCATTTCAGCAAATATGTAATCACCAATCATATCGTATAGTTGCAAAGGAGGAGATGATTAGACCATTGTTTGACCCTTGGAATTGAAAAAAGTAGTACTAAAAGTATTAAAGACTATTAAAATCAAATTACTTTCATTGAATAATGATAAGGGTAATGTAATATTGACACTTAAATGCCAAAAGATGACTTAACTTATGATGTCACTATAATAAAAAAGGAAACATAACCAAAACCACACTGAATATTTGTGAGTAGGGCATTAAGCCTAGCTCGCACTTTCACATTCCGTGTTCAGTATAGAATGTGTTCAAAATTTGTTTTTAAAAAGGTTCACTATAGGATTTTTCACATTGTTTCTTCATGTTATAGATGTGTAAACTGGCTCGATACACTCACAAACTGAATAAAATTTCACCTTTCAAGGAACCCCAGGATTTTATTCACTTGACTCTATCACAGTGAAATCAACATAATGACTGTTAATGACTAAATTCTTTGTATGTTGAATGTGTACTGATTTATATTTTAGACTTAGATAAAGTTGAGAATGGAAATGGGGAATGTGTCAAAAAGACAACAACCCGACCAAAGAGCAGAAAACAGCCGAAGGCCACCAATGGGTTTTCAACACAGCGAGAAAATCCTGCACCCGGAGGCGGGCTTCAGCTGGCCCCTAAACAAAAATGTGTACAAGTTCAGTGAAAATGGACGTCACACCAAACTCCAAAACATATTAATGTACTAAAATTAAAAAACATACAAGACTAACAAAGGCCAGAGTCTCATGACTTGGGACAGGCGCAAAAATGAGGCGGGGTTAAACATGTTTTGTGAGATCTCAACCCTCCCTCTATAAATCTAGCCAATGTACATGTAGAATAAACAAACACATAGCAATACGCACAGTAAAACTCAGTTTAAAAGAAGTCCGAGTCCGGCGTCAGAATAGGTAACAAAAGAAACTAATTAAAACGATACTGATACATAAATTAACAAAGGACTACAAGCAGTTACTAACATGCCAGCTCCAGACCTCAATTAAACTGATTGAAAGATTATGTCTTCATCATATGAAAATCAAGCACAATCCTCCCGTTACTGGTTTAGTATCATACCATCTAATATATGAGAAGAACATAACCCGTATCATGCGAAAAACTGGTTTTAAAATAAATGTGTTTATTTCCGATGCAAAGACCCTATGAGTGAATCAATATTAATACCAAAATATGCCATCTTTAATGACCTGACAACAGTATCGTAACTATATCCCTTCTGAATAAGTCTGTTTAAAGGTTTGGCAAGCTGCATGATTTTGTATTAGTTGTTATTGCCTTTGAACTAGCCGTCAGTAACAGCGAGTACTCTCAGATCTGTACCTAGTGTTTTTTTGTTGTGGGAATGTATAAGTACCCTGCCATGTCCACTCTGTGTTTTTGTTAGATGTATTTCTGATTTTTATCCATCTAATGAGTTAAGCCCTTTTGTACTGTTACACCACTGTCCCAGGTTAGGAGGAGGGTTGGCGCCTTCAAACTTATTTAACCCCGTCACATTTTATATGTGCCTGTCCCAAGTCAGGAGCCTGTAATTCAGTGGTTTTAGTTTGTTGCTGTATATCATATTTGTTTTTCGTTCATTATTTTGTACACAAATCAGGCCGTTAGTTTTCTCGTTTGAATTGTTTTACATTTTTTTTTGCGGGCCTTATATAACTTACTTACGGTATGGGTTTTACTCATTGTTGAAGGCCGTACTGTGACCTGTAGTTGTTAATGTCTGTGTCAGTCATTTGGTCTCTTGTGGAGAGTTGTCTCATTGGCAATCATACCACATCTTCTTATTTTTATAGCGTTTGCATAGGTAACTAATGTAGACCCGAAGATTACCCAAGGAAATATATTCTAACAGACCAATCACATTGAAGTATTTATAGTATTATATAAGAATTTGATCACAATGAATGAATATGTGTAATAAGTTTCAAGTTGAAGTGACCACAACTTCTTGGTAAACTATCTTAACCGAAAGGGTTAATCTGATTCGGGACGAACTTACGAACGGACGCACTGACCGTAAATCATAACGCCCTAACTATTTTAGCAGGACTGTAGGAGGTACATAAAAAGATTAACTGAAGAATGAAAAGAATTACAAACAAAGTAAAACAATAAATACTAAAAATAAATTGAAAACAAACAAAACTTTTCTTAAAATAGTAATTTACGTAAATGTACTAAATTAGCTCAAACCAAGAAATAAATGGATGGTAGATGGGCACTTAAAACAAAAATTCGATAGCACCTTATGCACCCATTTGAATTGTAAAGCGTTTTTCTTGTCCTATCTAACCGTTAAAACGTCTAAGCTTTTATCCTGAAAATAACAAATTCATAAACGATCCACGGTCGTTAATCTATTGAAACTTCGGACAATGAAGATCATCCGGGATGGGGAAAAGTAACATTAATCTGAATAAATGATTTGTTCTTGGATATTGAAAGCATAATGACAACAACTATCGATAAAAAATACTGGAATTGAATACGAACTAACTAACCATTCCATAATGTTCGGAAACAAATTAAAATGATGGTTCGAAATCGATGTTAGAATATTTGTGCTGATAAGACCCCCTTCCTCGAAGGAAATAGAACTTTATAAAATGAATTTTGTAAAATGAATTTTGTAAAATGAATTTTGTAAATTCAATTGTTTAAAAACAATATTTTTAGTCGATGTATTGAAACGTAAGTGAATTGATCCTTGACGGATACAGGTGGTTTTGTCGGGCTGTATGGTGTAGAGCCGGTTGATGCAAAACCCCGCTCGGAAATCGTAAAATAATTTTGATGAATAAAACTGCGAACTATTATGAAATATCTTGTTTACGTATCTTTTGATTCAGATTTTATATTTATATTATAGTGATCTAATTAATCGACGAGTGAGTTTGCGTTTTTTGATAGGACATTTGCGTTTTTTGTTAGACATTTTTGCTTCAATATTTACATCATTTTGACATTTGAGCCTTAGAAAAGACATTTACGCCTATTTTTAAAAGAAAATTTGTGCTTTTTCTGCAATTCGAGATTTTGGGTTTTACATATAATTTTCATTCACATTTTATATCGAGTAATCTACTTAATCGGCGCGGGACGTTTGCTTTATAATAAGTTTACATTTTGTCATTTAGTGGTCTCTACGTGGCGAAATCAGGAACCAGTTTCGTTCCAGCTATTGAAGGTTCATGAAGAAAAACGTCAAAAAGACAGACGATATAATTCAAAGTAAAATAATGCTGTGTACTGCTTCCTCTACACAGTATTGTTAAATTTGACTTAGAGAACTGTTAAGACTCTATGTTAGCGCAACATTTTTGTTGTAAATTCTAGGACACCTCCACTCGTCTAGTGTATCCTATTTGTTGTACATTCCAGGACACCTCAACTCGTCTAGTGTATCCTATTTGTTATTAATTCCAGGACACCGCCACACGTCTAGTGTATCCTATTTGTTGTACATTTTAGGACACCTCCACTGGTCTAGTGTACCCTATTTGTTGTACTTAACAGGACACCTCCACTCGTCTAGTGTATCCTATTTGTTGTAAATTTCAGGACACCTCCACTCGTCTAGTGTTTTCTATTTGTTGTACATTCCAGGACACCTCCACTCGACTAGTGTATCCTATTTGTTGTACATTCCAGGACACCCCACTCGTCTAGTGTATCCTATTTGTTGTACATTCCACGACATCCCCACACGTCTAGTGTATCCTATTTGTTGTACATTCAAGGACACCTCCACTCGTTTAGTGTATCCTATTTATGCTGTACATTCCAGGACACTTCCACTCGTCTAGTGTATCCTTTTTGTTGTACATTCCAGGACACCTCCACTCGGCTAGTACATCATATTTGTTGTACATTACAGGACACCTCCACTCGTCTAGTGTATCCTATTTAGAAGCCGTCCACTATGACAGAGAATCACTCCATCACCAGCACAGAACAAAACGATCAACAGGAGAACTAGTTCATCTTCAGTTTGAAGCTTTTTCAAGGTATGTAAAACGAACTCCATTCGGCACACATCGGCAACTTTTTTTGTGTAGGGTAGCTGAATCTGCCGAGGTTTACCGGTTTGAAAATAACAAAATAACGACTAAAAATATTGCAGGCACGCCTAGACACAAGGAATGGGTTTCAATATCTTTTTTCGGAAATGCAGATAGTTCTTAATATTTAGTTTGTATTGAAAAGTCTTTTATTGTGGCTATAAACAATGTTAATGGGAATGAGTGATCGGCATTTAATGTAATTTTTTTTTGCCCTGAGTATACAGATAGTAGGTTGAGAGACTTAAGTAAATTTTATAGCACAAAACCAGGAGATTTGATATTTGTTGTTTCAAATGTAGTGCAACAAAATAAGTTTATTTAAGAAACCAAAATACACATTATAGCTAACCCCAAGCTCTTAATTTCATAGTATATACCTTTCCATAGACTATCCAATTTAGCACATATTTACAACTGGAGTAATCTTTTAATTGGTCTATTGATAGTTTATTTTGGCTGACTACTTGTATCACAGGTGTTTGTAAAAAGGAGCTCATTAACGAAGTTTTGTAAATCTACTCACTAGTGTTATTGTAAAATATGTGATTTCAAAAGGCCCTTCACTCCAGAATGAATGGTAGCTGCTGGTGTAAGTATGTATACTGATATAAAGCGGTGTTTTACTATACATGTTCTTCTTACATGGTAAGATGACAAAATAAATTGACCAAAAGCAGGCAATAATTAAATTGCAGTGGAAGCTTTACATGTTTTGAAAACATTTTTTAATTTCACAGTAAAACTAGAGATATAATAAATTTGAAACATAGAGATAGTTTGTCCCCTTAGATATAGTCTAGCAGATAGGCATTAAAAAGCAACTACCAATAGATCAGAGATTCTAGGTTTTGTGTTTTGTGTTTTTTTTTTTATTATTTCAAAGTAAAAACTCAAAGATTTATCAGAATATGTTTATATATATAGGTGGCACATTATCTTCAGACATAATCACAGTTTTTCAATTCATGACATCGTCCTGAACATGCATGAAATATTTGCCACTGGACATTAAGCAACCAATAATCAATAAATCAATCAATTCATGACGAAATAGATCACCTTCCTTAAGAAAGTTTAAAAAATGATCACCAAGTTGCTTTAATTTTCCTGCACAAGGTTTCATAGTACACACTTTTCTGTGTACAAAGTAATTGCATGGATGATACATTATCATAATCTTAAGATATCGTTGTACTCTAATCAAGGTATAAAGAACCATATGTATTACCCTTTATTTAAATGATAAAATTTGCAATTGTCAAAAACAATTTTTAGATCCAAAGTTTTAAAAGCAGGATATTTAAAAATCAACGTGAAAATTATTTACAAACTATTTAATTTAATTTGGAACACATCATTTTATTTCAAAATAACCAGTGGCAATATTTGTTTTAAATATCTTGATTACGAAACAATGAAATCTTACCCTTGTGGTCATTCATGCGTAGTTACTTAGTACACAGGAAAAGTATGTACTATGAAAATTAGAAGGCAAATATAAGCAATTTGATTGGACGAGAAGTTGTAAGTATGTGCTAAAGAATAATAGTAATCATGCAAGTAACAAAATTAATTTAAGGCTGAATGAATATCACCCGATTTAGAATTAACATACGTTGAGTGCGAAATACACGATTAAGGATCAACGCACAATGAGCGCACTTTACACAATCTATGATGAATGAACGTTGAGCGCACGTTGAGTGGAAAACACATGGAATGATGAATGATGAGCGCACGTACGATGAATGGACGATGAATGAACGGAACACGTACGGTGAATGGACGATGAATGAAGGGAACACCTACGGTGAATGGACGATGATTGATGAATGCACAGACATTAGGTCAGTTTGAATTTTAGAAGATCTGTACATACTGTATTTTCAGTGGTCTCTGACATATAAGTTTTAGTGTAAATGCATATATAGGTTCTTGTAGCGCTCACGTGATTTTAGTCTTCTGAGAAACGGCTTACCGATGGTAACAATATTTTCATTAAATTATGCGAGATAGCTTTATAAAATGCTAACAGACATGTATTATGTCCAAATGTATTGAAATTGAGCAAGTAAGACTTCCTTTCGAACTGCCCTTCATGCTTGTCTATGTTTATTTCGTCAAATTGAGGGTTTCTGAAAGTCTTTCCATTGTAATTGCATTTTTATACGCGCGATTTAAGGGATTTGGATATTCAAACCATTAGCTCGATACGGACGAACTGTGAAGCGCTGATGTTTTATTCCAGATCGCTCCATAAATAAATATTTTCATATTTTGGATAGACTAGTGATTGATAAAAACTAACAGAAAAAAAATAAAAATATTAACAGAAAATATAAACGGAAATTCGCAGATAAGGTGTGTTAAAGTTTATGTGGGTATAGATTTCACAAAGAACAAAACATTACTGTATGCGCTGTTATATTGCCACATTAGAAAATATAGTACCTTAAAAGTTTGTTTTAATCGTTCGATTTCAGATACGGTCTTCATCAATTCGTGTTACTTTATGATATTAATGTATATTTATTACTCTAAACAGAAGTTCCTCAGGAAACTTTTTTTATAAACAATGCACTCATATTTGTTCCTGTTGGAACACATTCTTAAATATTTCTTCCAGTGGAAAAAATGTTCCAGACTATTTATTCCCTTTGGGATTTATTTTATCAAGGAACTTCTACTACATGACAGTGGGACTGGAAAGTACATATTTGTGTCCAAATTTTAATAACCTGGATCGAATCGTGATATTATTGTGTAAAATGATACAGTTCATGACAAGGTCGCTTTAGATAAAGATGTCAAATGCGTTGACCTCTTTTGAAAAAAATTGATTATAAGAAAATGTAGTTTGACGCACGATACAGTTCTTGTAAGTTGTTCCTATTTTCATTATGGTCGTCTAAAGACGAGGGTCCGGATGGAGTTTACAGAATATATACTAGTAATAATGGCCGAAATGTACAGAAAAATTGATAAAAAAAAAATAAAGAATAGAGAAATATGATTTAAAAACTTAAAAAAATACAGAAAGGAAGAACTTCCCATCCAGACCCTCATAGATGAGATACTTCCCCCGAGAGTTATCTTGATTGATCTTTAGATTTTAAAAATTTCCTCTTTTACCTTTAAGGAAATGGTCTGTAAAACTGAAGCGAGATGAAAGTATATTTCACAACAATATCATCGTAGAGAACAGTAAAGGTCCGGTGACCTATGACTTTGATTCTGCATATACAGGGAAGATTGACGGCAAGTAGCTTCTATGCCTAGAGTATTAATGACACTTGTATTCGTAATTGATGTACTGATTGATATTTTAGTCTTAGATGCATGATTTTTTTATTACTTGTTATTGGCTTTGAACTAGCTGTCAGTAACTGTGAGTACTCTCAGATCTGTACTTAACGTCTTTTCGTTGTGAGGATGTATAAGTACCCTGCCATGTCCACTCTGTGTTTTTGTTAGATGTGTTTCTGCTTTGTATCGATCTGATGAGTTAAGCCCTTTTCGACTGATTTTCATAGTTTGTTCATATGCTGTACTGTTACACCACTGTCACCTGTTCGGGGGAGAGTTGAGCGCCCTGTAACATGTTTAACCCCGCCACATTCTGTATGAGCCTGTCCCAAGTCAGGTTCCTGCAATTCAGTGGTTGTCGTTTGTTGCTGTATAACATATTTATTTTTCGTTCGTTATTTTGTACATAAATCAGGCCGTTATTTTTCTTGTTTGAATAGTTTTACATTTGTCATTTCGGGGCCTTTTATAGCTGACTATGCGGTATAGGCTTTGCTCATTGTTGAAGGCCGTACGGTGACCTACATTTTTTAATTTCTGTGTCATTTGGTCTTTTGTGGCGAGTTGTCTCATTGGCAATCATACCACATCGTCTTATTTTTATATAACAGAAGGTATGTATCTTATATGGTCCGTTGACCTATGACTTTGATTCTGCATATACAGGGAAGATTGACGGTAAGTGGCTTCCATGCTCCGTCTATTATTGGCTTGTAATCTCCATACATAGGGAAAATTGACGGTATGTAGCTTCAATGCTCTGCATGCATGTCTATTAATGCCACGTATTTTTTTACATACACAGGGAAAGCAAAAGGTTTGTAGCCTCTATGGTCAGTTTACCAGTGACTTTGATTTTACATACACATGGACGGTAGAAGGTTTGTAGCCTCTATGGTCCGTTGTCCCGTGACTTTGATTTTATATACACAGGGACGGTAGAAGGTAAGAAACCTCTCTTGTTCGTTCACAGATGACATTGACACTGAATACGTAGGAACAATAGAAGGTAAGAGACCTCTCTTGTCCGTTCACAGATGACATTGACACTGAATACGTAGGAACAATGGAAGGTAAGAAACCCCTATTGTCCGTTCACAGATGACATTGACACTGAATACATAGAAACAATGGAAGGTAAGAAACCCCTCTTGTCCGTTCACAGGTGACATTGACACTGAATACATAGGTACAATGGAAGGTAAGAGACCTCTCTTGTCCGTTCACAGGTGACTTTGACACTGAATACATAGTTACAATGGAAGGTAAGAAACCTCTCTTGTCCATTCACAGATGACATTGACACTGAATACGTAGGAACAATGGAAGGTAAGAAACCCCTCTTGTCCGTTCACAGGTGACATTGACACTGAATACATAGGTACAATGGAAGGTAAGAGACCTCTCTTGTCCGTTCACAGGTGACATTGACACTGAATACGTAGGAACAATGGAAGGTAAGAGACATATTTAGGCCATTGACGCATTTACCGTTGACTTTACACCCACGAGGAAGATAGGATGTAATTGCCTTCTCAAGTCTGTTGTGCATGACTTTGCCTCAACATATCTTTTTTCAAAAAAGTTTGCAAAAAAGTCAACATATACTAAGAAGATTGATGATAGGCTAGTTCTCTCTCTAGTATATTGATAGAGGGCTCTGAAGATAGAAGTCAATTGACCTCCCTGGTGCGGTATCATACGGTATCATGTACAATTTCGTTTCTATTATTTAAAATATTGATAACTATCAATTCTGCTTGAGTAGTGTGAAAACATGATTAAATTGCTGAAAAAAGTATTTTGTTTTTCCTTTAGGCGAAAGGTCACATGTGTTTGGAACAGTAACGACAACTGGACATTTTGAAGGTCAAATTCAGCTTCGTAATGACTCATTTGTAATTGAAAAAGCATCTCGTCATAATGTTACAGATCAAGACACCCATACAGTGATTTATAATGTTAAAGATGTAAATATTCCAAAAGAATCACATTTATGTGGCTTGAACGGAAAAAATACGCAACCAAAACCGGAATTAAGAGAAAAAATAAATACGCATGACAGTATGGATACTGATTTCAAACTTCGATATACATCTGGATTAATCGACAAACATAGAAGATATAGAAGAGCGGTTGATCCTAATAAAAAGATATGTGAACTGTATATTCAAGTTGATCATACACTTTTCTTTCGATATAATAATGCGACGGATGACGTGATAGCCAACATAAATAATCACGTAATGGCAGTTAATTCTATTTTTAATGGTGTTGGTAAGTTTCAAGAAAGAAATGCGAAATGCTTAAAACTTCAATCATCCCTCTATCGTATTATATCCTCCAAAAATGTTTTAAAATTTTGTAAGTAGAAAACTTAAGCAATAGAGAAAGAACGTTATAAGTTATTAGTATTGTTGTATAACATACTGTGACAATGTCTTGTTCATTGGTAAACAGTGAAAATTTAGCTACAGCCACCTCAAACCATTTTTTAGTTTAAGATTTCCATGTGACTTGTATACCCTACTATACAAGTTAAATCATTGTTATTCAACCTTTTAAATTTGAATATTACCTTTTACCTGATTTCAGGATTTATCTGTACCAAGAACGCTCTGAATCATATCTTTAGACAAACCAAAATAAATCTTTTCATGGAGAATGTGGGTTTAAAAATATGATGATGTTATTAATTGCCAAATGTTAAAAAAAAATCAGCCTTGCATAATTCTTCAGTTATAAAAAAAAGCTGTTGATTTCTTTGTGATGTCAACTTACCACACACCCCATATCTGTATTTATTTATGCGTAAAATGAGTAAATAAATTAGATTTTCAATGATAAATAAATTAAGACAAACCGTACGTAGGCTTTAATTTTATTACTAGTACAAACAATTCTTTATATTTACAGATTTTGATAGTGACAATACACCAGATAGTATAGGGTTTTCAATAAAGCGAATAAAAATTTATGATGATCCTACAGCGCCTGGATATAAATATTCTGGCAATCACGGAGTGAATTCAATGCTCTATCTCCATTCAGAAGAAAACTATGATCAGTTTTGCTTATCTTACATTTTTACCTACAGAGACTTTGATAATGGTATTCTTGGATTAGCCTGGACGGCAGAGCCAGGAACGTCTGGTGGACTCTGTTCGAGGTATACGGTAAGATTCGTTAGTTCGAGGTTTACAGTAAGGTGCATTAGTTCGAGTTATACAGTAAGATTCGTTATTTCGAGGTATATGATAAGATTCTCTAGTTCGAGGCATACGGCAAGATTCGTTATTTCGAGGTATACAGTAAGATGAGTTAGTTCGAGGTATACGGTAAAATACGTTATTTCGAGGTAAACGGTAAGATTCGTTAGTTCGAGGTATACGATAAGATTTGTTAGTTCGAGGTATACGGTGAGATGCGTTAGTTCGAGGTTTACGGTAAGATTCGTTAGTTCGAGGTACACGGTTAGATGCGTTAGTTCGAGGTATACGGTAAGATTAGTAAGTTCTAGGTATACGGTAAGATTCGTTAGTTCGAGGTTTACGGTATACGGTAAGAATCGTTAGTTACGGTTAAAGATTGAGAGAAGTGTATACACATAAGCTCATAAAATCATGACCGTTGAAATAAGCCTTCTTTTTTAATAAATTGTAATATATTTTTTTTAGTTCAGCTTTTTTTGTTTGTAAGGAATTCTTTAGTCTCTCATATATATTATTTTGTTCTAAAACGATTTTGTGTACTCTTGAAAATGAACAAATGTAGCAAGTCGTTTCCTCTTTCAAATTAAAGTTACTTTAGTTTTGTTTATTAATGTTTCGCATACGTTGCCTGATGTTATACAGTATCCAATATTGAAAACATTATTATACAGGTAATATAAAGTATTTATTAAACAAATCTTGCAAGACCCCCATGAGTAGTCAAGGTCGTTAACCAAAAAACTCTCGTCGTCGTTATAGAATAACGCGTAGGGGCGAATTATCCCTGTTGTCCGGTGACGATTTGAGATATTTTGATATTTTGATATTTAAATTCTTGGATTATTATTTTATTATATTGCTTTTTAATGCATATACATTAGAATATACAAGGACTTATATCTTGGTTGTGCGCGTTAGATGTAACGTCATTGGCAAAATGTATTTTTGAAAAAACGTTAAAGGGGTGAAATTGGATGATTTATTTCAAATGTGAATTTATCGGTTTTTATTTAACATGGAAATCGCAATATTTCATTCCAACCAACGTTATAATTGATTTTTATCACAATATTGTGTTACATATCAGGCAATTAACATTTTTAGCTCTACACGGATGGACGTCTTAGTCTAAACACTGGTATAGTTACGAATCTTAATTATGGTAATGACGTCACCACAGCTGTATCATACGTCACGTTTGCACATGAGATTGGTCATAACTTTGGATCATTGGTAAGTTAACTATGTTTAAGTCTATTTTCTTTCAGTAGTTATCTACTGCATATTTAGTTTTATCGCACCTTTGCTAAATTCTGACGTTATGATTGGTTTAACGCCGTCATGTGGTGACCCCTATGGATCCGTATGGGTATGGATCCGTATGGGGTCAGTAGAATCCATATGGGGCTCATAACGTCACGTTAACAATTGATGGTGACGTCATCGATTAATGTTATTGTATTTCATTGCTCACCCAGTTGGACGGCAAACGAATTAATGGCTTCTAAGGTCAAGACATTGGTCACGTGACAAAAGGTCAGAGTTTACGGTTTTGGTAAACGTTCATGCCTCGTGGTTTTTCTACTCGGATCGTCTTATTTGTACTCGTACATTAATAAATATCAAAGCGTTCCATTTTTGAGTGAATAAGCTTCATTATTCTTTATAATAATTATTAAGAGGTGTTGTTAAAGTATTCTAAATTCACGAGTGAAGTGAAACTTTTTTTCTGAAAATTTGTGTAGGTCCACGGAAAATTCCTAATTATTCCTTAAATAGGTATGGTAACGTGTTGAGGGGTATAAAATATGAAGCAAAACCATTTTTTACATGAAATTTTCATGATAATTCATCCTAAATTCACTGGATACGAATTTGTGTCAGCTTATTCGTGGCGAAGTGGAGAACAAAGGGAGATAACTCCGTACACGCATCGTAGGAAATTGCAAGTTCACAACAGTAAATTTGAGTAAAATTAATGATTGTAGTTATATTTCGACACTTTCTTGAATAACTATTCAATATTTCATGTTCCTCTAATAATGTAACATTGAAATAGTCATGGTATGGTTGAATGTGGCATTTTTCAAGTACTTACAGGTTTTTGAAAACTTCCACAGGAGAAAATTATACACCGCGAACTAACTTTTCTCTGAACCTTGGACTTATTGTATATTTTCAAACACCCTTTTGGTAGATGGAATGATACACGTCTTTGTTTTATTTTCTTTGTATCAATATTCTTAGAAAGGATATGAAAATAAACTCAGTGTTTGTACATGTTTGGTTGTTAATAGAATAGTTTTTTTTAAATATAAATTTCACTCTAAAATTAAGACTTCAATTAATTTTTTGTATATATAAATAAGTACCTCCCCCCTTTTAAAATTGGCTGGATCCGCTCCAAGATAAGAAACTATATAAGATGTACAAGTTATGCTGCTCGCTCTTAATCAAGAGAAAAAATCTGAACATCCAAAAGCCCAGAAAGGGATTTAAACATTATAATCAAACACAAAGAAAACTGAACAAAAAACTGTATTGCAAACTGATATCATGTAGTTTACATCATTCCTATTATTACAAGTTTTTGATTTTTTTCCCTTAAATTTGAATTCAAAAGTCCTACAAACAACTGTTGAGTCTTTTAATTAAATTATTGATTGAATAATGTATGATTAGTTAAGCTGATCAGTAAATAAAGTCTGAAAATGCTTTGTTTAAAAAAAAGAGTGTTATTATGTCATAAAATATACTGAATCAACTTCAAATTTAATCCAAATTCATATTTAACTGCTCAAAAATGCATAGTCAATGGAACTACAAAACAAAAACTTGAGACTACTATAACGTAGAGATTGGTCACTTCCCATTTATAGTAGTTTCAGACAAAAAAAAAGCCAACTTAAAAATAGTATGTTCAGAAATTTTTTGAAGAATGGACAACAATGAGATATTTATTATTCTAATATCAGAAAAAATCTCATAGTATCAAATCAGAATGCAAGTTCTTTTTATTGCGATAATCAATTTAATCGCATTATTTACTTTAATAAAACCTCATGATAATGTCTGAATTTACAGTCATGACTTAGCTTGTCAATCTCTGCGCTTAAAAATTTAAGTTTCCTAGGCCTAAATGTCATGAATGTGGTTGAAATACTGACAATTCTGCTAACTTTTATCAAAAATCTCTTTTTTATGACATACATTACAATTTCAGAAAAAAGCTGCATAAATTATATACGTATCACATATCAGAATGCTAGTTTGTATCATCATGATTATTGCAATAAGTTGTTATTCAATTAATTAAAAAACATCACTTATTTTTGAATTGATAGCCCAAAATATTAATCTGGGATCAGTACATACATTTGTTTTTTTTAAACATCTATATACTGTTCATTAGCAGAGAATTCATTAGGGAACTTGTTGTAATGAAATTTTGCACAAGACACTCATGGCAGATCACAATTACAGTGGTCTTTATAAACATAATGACACAATTTTATTGTTGATATATGTAACCTGAAATCATTGCAGAATTTTTCTTTCAAATAATTTAATGTATGTTAGTCATTTAGTACTTTAAATACTTAACCTGTACTAAAATAAAGAGATGTGGTATGATAGCCAATGAGATAACAGACTAAAAACTATCCACCAGAGTCCAAGTAATGTGTGTGTCATGTCTGTTAGCAGTTATAGGTCACTTTACAGACATCAACAATGAATACATTTCATTGTTTTCAGGCAGATGAGGAAAAAGAGGAATTGTAGCTTTTTAGCTTACTACATGAGAATATAAGAAATATAATAATATAATAATACAAATAAGGAAATAAGAGAGACATACAAGACAGGACTACATATAAAGTGTTCCCTACTAATCATTAAAGGAGCTGCTGTATACTTAGAAAAAAGGATGTTGAGGACTTGGCCTCATCAAACAGCATTTTTAGACACTACATTATGGCCTATTGCAATCTGCCCTATTTGCTCCAACCTATAAGTATTAAAATCAATGCCTGGGGTGGGAATTAAACCCATGTATGTTCATATATACTCTATTGGTTTCTTTGTACATACATGTATATGAAAAATATCAAATGCAAACAAATACTGTAATGTAAATATGGTAATTTACATCATTACAATCTCATTTTTTAATAAGGACCTAGTAAAGGAAGTCCCTGAACCTAACTAGACCTATTTCTTAGGCAAGGTGTATTATATAACTCTTATTAAAATTAAAATTAAAAGTATTAAAATGCAATTGTAAAATTAATTTTATCTGCTGTTAAACAATAATAACACAATAGTGGTTATTTCTAAGTATTTAGTAACAACAACTTGCAATCTAGGTAAACAAACATCAATGATTGACCACGTGTTTGTCTGCTGTGCTTGAATTCAAAACGACCCATCAGGTTTATTTACACGAATTTTTGCTAAAGCAGACAGTTAAACATGTCTGTTTACCTTTAAAGTTTTATAAAAAATGCATTTGCTGTTATGACTTGTGTATGCAAGGAAATATAATGAAGATAACATTGATTTTTTACCGTAAAATTGAATACACAAACATTCCTTAGCTATACACACAAAACATATACCACTTTTGTAACGATAGATGGTAAACGTGGCGCTGTTTGTGGGCGTAAACATTTTACATACGGGTACTTTGTGTGTCAACAGATTGACCTTCATCTGTCAGATTCAGGCGTTTGCTGTTCAACTGACCCCCTGTGAATTTTACTAACGCTTTATGGATCCGTATGGGATCAGTAGCAAACCATATTACTTATAGTATTTGTTGGTATCCACATTCTACAGCCTATGATTGTGTTATATCAGTTCAGTGGTTGCATGCTATTGTAAAACATCCGTGATATGAATAATAAGAAGAAATAATCTAGAAAAAAATTATCTAGTAAAAAGAAGCTGATCAAATTTGTTTTTCCAATTTTATTCCGTCTTCTTGTGTTTGTGCGTTACGTTTATTTCATTGTTATTTATCGAAAATGATCTAGATGGTTCTTTTTGGTTTGATCAGCTCTTCAACGTTTGTATTAGGTTTTAGATTTCCAAATATATTGGCTTCGAGCATCACTGAAGAGACATTAATTGTCGAAATGCGCATCCGGTGCATCCAAATTGGAACTGTTAATGTTATTACTATTGTTGATAAGGTGATCCAGGATGTAAGAATTTGTCTGCAACTGCTTCGCCTTTTTTAATGATAGACATTCATTTATGTTTCAGCATGATGAGTCCTCTAATCCAACATGTGCCCCTGGCGGAACTGGTGGTAACTATATCATGTTCGCTCAAGCAACCGCTGGAACTAAATCTAATAATGTAAAGTTCTCTCCATGTAGTATATCATCTATGGCGCCAATGGTTGCCACTCGTGGTCGCGATACAGCTAATGGATGCTTTGTAGGTAAGTATCCTTGAATTGAAAGAAAAGAAGTAGTTCACATTCACAGGGGGAAATGGACCACTGACAGTTTCTTCCTCGTTTACACATCAATAATTCTAAAATGTATCATGTAAAAATCATTTGAGCTGCGTCGGATAGAAATCGACCGTATGCAAATAAATATCAGTACATCTGTTGTACCTTCTTTCAAATAGTAAAAATCACTCTATATGCAAAGTGTGTAACTGTTTGAAAATTGATATAACAACCCTACAAATCAGACCAAAATTTATCTTTTAATTTGTATTACAATGTTCCAAAATCCATCAAAGTCTTAAACATGTTCATGTATACGTGCACTTCATAAGGTCGATTTCTATCCGACGCAGCTCATTTTATAATCATAGATCTCTGCATTTTTATCTGTACAACAGGACGTAGCGCGCAGACTGTTAAAGACCATTCTTTGTCGTCCAGCTAGAAACAGTAGCCAAAAAAGATTCCTGTCATATTTTCATCCTACTCGAAATACGTGGTGGGTCTTATCTGATTTTTACAAGCGTCTTTGATGTGCTTACTTTACTTCCACAAGAAAAAATCCTTTGATGTCAAAATATCTAAATGTTAATTTCTGTGTTATCACAAGACAATCATGTATGTTCATTCTAAAGTACAGGATTGAAAACTCGCGCGCAACAGCATACTTGCAGACTGTGCACTCATTCTGAGATACTGGATCAAACACACAGGAATGTTTAACGGAAAAGTGTCAATCATATTTTGGTATTTTGTTTTCAACGTTTCTGCCTGCAAAAATACCTCAAATATTGCGGAAATTATAATATATTTACTAATGTATTTCCAGAATATTCTTCAGCCACATGTGGTAATAAAGTAGTGGAAAGTGGCGAACAATGCGACTGTGGTTGGGATGATGATTGTACAGATCCTTGTTGTTATCCAACACTATCAGCTACTGGTCCTGACTCAGCTAAAGCTTGTCAGTATAGAACTACGGCTACGTGTAGGTGAGTTCACATTACTAATCATGTCCCCCAGCTCTGTCATCTACTACTCCCGACTCAGAGAAAGCTTGCCAGTATGAAACTGCGGCTACGTACAGGTGATTCCACATTATAGGACATGTTCCCCAGCTCTGTCAACTACTGATCCCGACTCAGATAAAGCTTCCAAGTATTAAACTGGGGGTACGTACAGGTGAGTCCACATCATAGGACATGTTCACCAGCTCTGTCATCTACTAATCCCGACTAAGATAAGGCTTGCCAGTAAAAAACTGGGGGTACGTTCAAGGAGTCCACATTAAAGGACATGTTCCACAGCTCTGTCATCTACTAATCCAGACTCAGATAAAGCTTGCCAGTATAAAAGTGGGGAAAGGTGGGGGGGGGGGGGGGGGGGGGGGTAACAGAATAGAGAATAATGGACCAAGTGTACAGAAAATGGACCCAATGAATAAAAAAATAGAGAAAATTGGATAAAAAATAATAGAAAATAGAGAATAATTTATAATTAGATATAAAGATTACATAAATAAAAGGCAAAAAATATAATGAATAGAGAAAAATAACCTAAAAATTTAAAGAATACAGAAATGAAGGACCCCATCCAGAACCTCATAGAAGTATTATTTACAATATTTTATAACAGATATAACAGAAACTGGTTCAATTATTCTCATCAAAGATTGTTAATGCTCAGAAGACAGTACTTCGGCACTGACATGATCTATAACAAACCTTTCTCGAATTGGCCGTTTTTAAATTAAGATATCATTAATACACTAAGGTTTCAACTTCCTCAGGCAGAGTTGACCTTAAACGAATTTGGCTATTATATTTAGGTCCTCTTCAACTGTTTCGGTTCTTATAGATCATTGGCTTTCAAAATTTTGGCTTTCAACGTTCCTGATAAGTTAAATCCAGACAAGCGCTTCGGATAACGCATGAAATTTATAAAGCTTGACTTCCATTTAATTTTTTAATGAATTGCATAGTTTAGGAAAATATGCAATAAATATAAGATTTTCTGGATGATCCCATGAAGTGTTTTAATATGTCATTTTTTAAATCTTGCATCCGGTTGTATAAAAAATAAATAATTTTCATATTTATAAGTGTAATTACCTTAGGTTCAAAATAAACTATTGAAATATTATATGCTTTCGGAAAATCGATAAACATTGTTGGTTTCAATAGGTTTTTAATTTATTGGAAACAGCTTAAAATTGAATAACAGCATGGTCATATAAGTGCATTAGCTACGAGATATAAAAAAATGATAAATAAAATACTATTTTGTTTTTGTTCAATCATTTATGAAAGTGAAATAGTGAAATAATAATTTGCTTTTAGCAACAAGCTTAGTTCAATTTTGCCAAAATAGGTTAAGAAACATCGCTGATGAATTAATCACTTGCAAATGATTAATTCGACCTAATTGAATCCGTATTCATCTGACCTTCAATTTAATCCCTTAGCTAGAGGGGAGTTACTCATAACCTAGGCGTGTTTAGCTATTAAAACAGGAAAATAATATCAATATTGGAAGTGAAACAAGGGTAAGCCGTTTGGTTAAATGATTCGATCCGCAAAAACTCATTCTTATACAGAAAAAACGATGATTAACATATATGTTTGACCTATAATATGAAATCAAATAGACCTAGAAAATCCAATTGCACATGTTCGCTATCTGTTTATATCTATATTTATGTTTTTATCGGGTTATATGACCGTCGGCAGTCTTCAGAGGTCACCTTGATGGTTAATTAGATTGCGTCTACACTAAAATACACACGTTATGCTGATACGTATTATCGAGTACATGCATGAAAAATTGTTTATTTTATACTTTTTATAATTTGGATATACGTTTTAGTGTGTTATAGATCGAATATGAGAATTTGAGTCAAATCGGTGAACCCGAATTTGACAGCTAATGCCCCTTTAAGAGTCTTTTTCATTTTTCAAAGGTGGGGGGGGGGGGGGGGGGTAACAGAATAGAGAATAATGGACCAAGTGTACAGAAAATGGACCCAATGAATAAAAAAATAGAGAAAATTGGATAAAAAATAATAGAAAATAGAGAATAATTTATAATTAGATATAAAGATTACATAAATAAAAGGCAAAAAATATAATGAATAGAGAAAAATAACCTAAAAATTTAAAGAATACAGAAATGAAGGACCCCATCCAGAACCTCATAGAAGTATTATTTACAATATTTTATAACAGATATAACAGAAACTGGTTCAATTATTCTCATCAAAGATTGTTAATGCTCAGAAGACAGTACTTCGGCACTGACATGATCTATAACAAACCTTTCTCGAATTGGCCGTTTTTAAATTAAGATATCATAAATACACTAAGGTTTCAACTTCCTCAGGCAGAGTTGACCTTAAACGAATTTGGCTATTATATTTAGGTCCTCTTCAACTGTTTCGGTTCTTATAGATCATTGGCTTTCAAAATTTTGGCTTTCAACGTTCCTGATAAGTTAAATCCAGACAAGCGCTTCGTATAACGCATGAAATTTATAAAGCTTGACTTCCATTTAATTTTTTAATGAATTGCATAGTTTAGGAAAATATGCAATAAATATAAGATTTTCTGGATGATCCCATGAAGTGCTTTAATATGTCATTTTTTAAATCTTGCATCCGGTTGTATAAAAAATAAATAATTTTCATATTTATAAGTGTAATTACCTTAGGTTCAAAATAAACTATTGAAATATTATATGCTTTCGGAAAATCGATAAACATTGTTGGTTTCAATAGGTTTTTAAATTATTGGAAACAGCTTAAAATTGAATAACAGCATGGTCATATAAGTGCATTAGCTACGAGATATAAAAAATGATAAATACAATACTATTTTGTTTTTGTTCAATCATTTATGAAAGTGAAATAGTGAAATAATAATTTGCTTTTAGCAACAAGCTTAGTTCAATTTTGCCAAAATAGGTTAAGAAACATCGCTGATGAATTAATCACTTGCAAATGATTAATTCGACCTCATTGAATCCGTATTCATCTGACCTTCAATTTAATCCCTTAGCTAGAGGGGAGTTACTCATAACCTAGGCGTGTTTAGCTATTAAAACAGGAAAATAATATCAATATTGGAAGTGAAACAAGGGTAAGCCGTTTGGTTAAATGATTCGATCCACAAAAACTCATTCTTATACAGAAAAAAACGATGATTAACATATATGTTTGACCTATAATATGAAATCAAATAGACCTAGAAAATCCAATTGCACATGTTCGCTATCTGTTTATATCTATATTTATGTTTTTATCGGGTTATATGACCGTCGGCAGTCTTCAGAGGTCACCTTGATGGTTAATTAGATTGCGTCAACACTAAAATACACACGTTATGCTGATACGTATTATCGAGTACATGCATCAAAAATTGTTTATTTTATACTTTTTATAATTTGGATATACGTTTTAGTGTGTTATAGATCGAATATGAGAATTTGAGTCAAATCGGTGAACCCGAATTTGACAGCTAATGCCCCTTTAAGAGTCTTTTTCATTTTTCAAAGGTGGGGGGTAACAGAATAGAGAATAATGGACCAAGTGTACAGAAAATGGACCCAATGAATAAAAAAATAGAGAAAATTGGATAAAAAATAATAGAAAATAGAGAATAATTTATAATTAGATATAAAGATTACATAAATAAAAGGCAAAAAATATAATGAATAGAGAAAAGTAACCTAAAAATCTAAAGAATACAGAAATGAAGGACCCCATCCAGAACCTCATAGAAGTATTATTTACAATATTTTATAACAGATATAACAGAAACTGGTTCAATTATTCTCATCAAAGATTGTTAATGCTCAGAAGACAGTACTTCGGCACTGACATGATCTATAAGAAACCTTTCTCGAATTGGCCGTTTTTAAATTAAGATATCATTAATACACTAAGGTTTCAACTTCCTCAGGCAGAGTTGACCTTAAACGAATTTGGCTATTATATTTAGGTCCTCTTCAACTGTTTCGGTTCTTATAGATCATTGGCTTTCAAAATTTTGGCTTTCAACGTTCCTGATAAGTTAAATCCAGACAAGCGTTTCGGATAACGCATGAAATTTATAAAGCTTGACTTCCATTTAATTTTTTAATGAATTGCATAGTTTAGGAAAATATGCAATAAATATAAGATTTTCTGGATGATCCCATGAAGTGCTTTAATATGTCATTTTTTAAATCTTGCACCCGGTTGTATAAAAAATAAATAATATTCATATTTATAAGTGTAATTACCTTAGGTTTAAAATAAACTATTGAAATATTATATGCTTTCGGAAAATCGATAAACATTGTTGGTTTCAATAGGTTTTTAAATTATTGGAAACAGCTTAAAATTGAATAACAGCATGGTCATATAAGTGCATTAGCTACGAGATATAAAAAATGATAAATAAAATACTATTTTGTTTTTGTTCAATCATTTATGAAAGTGAAATAGTGAAATAATAATTTGCTTTTTGCAACAAGCTTAGTTCAATTTTGCCAAAATAGGTTAAGAAACATCGCTGATGAATGATTAATTCGACCTCATTGAATCCGTATTCATCTGACCTTCAATTTAATCCCTTAGCTAGAGGGGAGTTACTCATAACCTAGGCGTGTTTAGCTATTAAAACAGGAAAATAATATCAATATTGGAAGTGAAACAAGGGTAAGCCGTTTGGTTAAATGATTCGATCCACAAAAACTCATTCTTATACAGAAAAAACGATGATTAACATATATGTTTGACCTATAATATGAAATCAAATAGACCTAGAAAATCCAATTGCACATGTTCGCTATCTGTTTATATCTATATTTATGTTTATATCGGGTTATATGACCGTCGGCAGTCTTCAGAGGTCACCTTGATGGTTAATTAGATTGCGTCTACACTAAAATACACACGTAATGCTGATACGTATTATCGAGTACATGCATCAAAAAATGTTTATTTTATACTTTTTATAATTTGGATATACGTTTTAGTGTGTTATAGATCGAATATGAGAATTTGAGTCAAATCGGTGAACCTGAATTTGACAGCTAATGCCCCTTTAAGAGTCTTTTTCATTTTTAGTTGTCGCATGTTTTGTATACAATTGAGATTTTGTCATCTAATTTCAATTTCAAAGGTTTAAATGATATTACCTATACATTATAATCCGATTTAAGGATTTATGATATGTGACATCGTCACGAAGACTATTTTTTTTCTTTGCAGTCCCAGTGAAGGAGTATGCTGTAATCCCACTACTTGTTCTAATTATCTACCATTAGATAACAAAGTCTGTAGGACCAACTCATCTTGCCTTGATGAAGCAATCTGCAAATATCCTTTTACAAATATACTAGCGGACTAGGATCTGCCTACCCTTTTGAAGCACCTGAGATTACCCCAAATTTTGAGTGGAGTTCGTGTTTCTCAGTCATTAATTTTTTATGTAGTATTTAGTTGCCTTGTTTGTCTTTTTGTCTACCATTAGATAACAAAGTCTGTAGGACCAACTCATCTTGCCTTGATTAAGCAATCTGCAAATATCCTTTTGCGGACTAGGACCTGCCTACCCTTTTGAAGCACCTGGGATTACCCCAAATTTTGAGTGGAGTTCGTGTTACTCAGTCATTAATTTTCTATGTAGTATTTAGTTGCCTTGTATGTCTTTTTGTCGTCTTTCGGTTTATGCCATGGCGTTGTCAGTTTTACTTCGACTTATAAGTTTACATGTTCAGTAAAGGCAGAAGTCTGTAAAGTTATGTTGAAATTTAGCTCTTTTTCAAACATGCTTGTTTGAAACTACACTTGGTTTAAACAAGGAACCACGACAAAGCCTGTGTTTGCCGCCTAATGTAGAACACAAAAAGAAGAATTAATATATCAAAAAGCATTTTTAAAATGTTTAAAAGACATTCGTGTGTCAGATATCAGTATTGATATTTCTGAAATCTCTCTTGGATAATTGGCCTTAACCATCTGACATAATGGAACAAACTGCAAGATGTCAATAAAGGCACGTTATGGAACAACCGTTTCACAGATGATATCGGATATGTTCCTTATGTCGTAACTACAATACCCTCCCTTTTCACGAATGTGACTTACCGAATTAGACTATTTACCGGATGTGTAATAACATAAGCAAAACGACGGGTGCCACATGTGGAGCAGATCTGCTTACCCTTCCGGAGCACCTGAGATCCCCCCCAGTTTTTGGTGGGGTTCGTGTTGCTTAGTCTTTGGTTTTCTATGTTGTGTCATCTGTGCTATTATTTGTCTGTTTGTCTTTTTATTTTTGGCCATGGCGTTGTTAGTTTGTTTTCGATCTATGAGTTTGACTGTCCCTCTGGTATCTTTCGTCCCTCTTTTTGAGCTTTTGTCATTGATATTTATATTTAGATAGGAATATTACCAATATCCAAAAGACAATCGATTGCAAAATGTTTTATTTTGGCAAATTAGTGCGTGCAAAATACAATATCCATCGTCATGGTACATACATGTATGTAGATAAAATTCGTCCAGGACAATTATGACCAGATCATATCATCATACTTATTTGCCGATCAAATAAACATAATTTGTATATCAAAGAGGCAAACAAATGATGACTCTTATCGTACTTGCTCCTTTTCAAACTTGTGCTTGTATGAACCAATTATATGATATTCAATAGTTTGCATCTTGTTTTGCTTAATGTTTGATTATTTAATTTTAAAAACTTGTGTGGGGAGCTTTATTGTTATAAATTAAAATAATTGATTCTTAATTTCAGGGAAAAAATACTTGTTTCAGAATGGAAGTAAAATTAATAAATTCAATATTGAATTTCTTAAAAAAATATCTGGTTCCTGTTTGTTATTGTAGTTGTTTTAATTTTCGTTCTGACGGAAAAAAAGTTCGTCCTGGAAAAAAAACCACGACCCCCCTTTTTCCTCTAAATGAAAAGACGTTGTTTTTAGCCATACTCAAGAACTCGAGTTAACATTTTTATTAGAAGTTTTTGCAAATACAGTAAATGTCGAAGTATCTGTTATGTCATCTTTTATTAATAAGTGCATTTAATCGCATTAGACTAAGCTGCTTTGCAAACTATAGAAAATGTAAAATAAGTTTGACTTCGACTCATAAATAACTAAATTTAATGAATAGTGACTACCAAATGCCTCTATTGTGAAACATAGTTCTAGACTCTATTTGGTTGATGTTTTACTATTCAATTGCTGCTGATTGTTATAATTATGATCCTTAACACATAAACTGGTGGCCTGACATGTCCAGATTCCACAGAATCAGCCAATGGTACCGTCTGTGATGATGAAAAGGTTTGCTATTTTGGGGTAAGTCAATGATATTTAAGTTCTATCTTCAACATAAACAGAAATTTAAATACACATTTATATTTTGCAGTTGCTGGGTTACCGTTTATTCATATTAAAGATTAAAACTAACATTTTAATTTGTGAAGATCTTTTGTAGAAAATACTAGACAAAACAGTGTTGATCATTTGAAAAGACGTCCCGAGTAAATATACAAGCACGTATAAACATTTAACAAACAACTTTGTAAATTTATCGTTAAAGCAATGTTCAGGTCAAGTTTGTGAAGCTCATGGATATCAACCGTGCCAGTGTGAACCCACAACAGCGGGCAACTGGAAAGATGAATTGCTGTGTTCGTTGTGTTGTACTGATCCAGATGACAACACTTGCAAGTATGTTAGGCAAATACTTTAGGAACTCCTTTTATTCATATCATAGAAATTGTGACTTTATTTCATGCCCCTCTCACAATAGTAGGTAACATTATGTTTCAGGTTCGTGCATTCGTCTTCCCGTTTGTCCCGTACCAATTTAAAGGTTTTAGTTAAGCGTTTTTGATGAAAGTAAACCCAGTATAGCGTTTCAGACACATTGAATTTATTTCGAGTTGTTTTCAGTTTTTAACCATGAAGTCGTGATCGCATCTACTAGAAAAGGTTTTGCGTTACGCTTAACATAAACATTTTTGTATTATATTTCCATATAAAAATAATGAAAAAAATCTCTTCGGAAAGTCTGTAACTGTTTGAAAATTGACTTGTTATAAGAACCCTACAAAACGGAAAAGAATTCATCTTTTATTCCGTATTTGAATGTTCCAAAATCAAGGAAAGTTTATGCATGTACATGTATACGTGCAGAGTTGTTTGAATAACATTCGTACACATAAAACATTATCAAATATCGCAAATTACGCCACATGAGACTTTGACCTTGAGAAGATTAGTCGTAGGATAATTATCTCTTTAGGGTAATAGAGATGTGCGTCTCGAATATATTGGGTCGGTAATTGATATAAACTTGTCGAAAAGAACCGAAATTTACCAATTTTAGTATGTTTTGTTGTTTATGGTTTTTATCATTTAATCATGTAGCGCGTTTTGTACTAATGCCTCATCATCTCTCTATTCTCACCTTGTTGATAAATATTCCGTATCAACTTAATAATACATGATGGTCTTGAAGTATAGATTCTAGGTACTAACGTTGTTTATCATATTAATTGCGTGTTTAATTTCTCCATTTTTTGTCCTTGTATATTTCTAACCTTTACTGTTAATCCATTTTTGATTTTATATACTTATGACGTGGATCGGTACTTATAGTCTTTCATTTTTGCTTATGTACTTTGTCTACATGTCATTTTGTGTTTCTTTGGTGTAAAAGTTATTTGTTTTTATAGTGATTAAGATTATATTACAATGTTGATTGCTGTACCCCAATGTTTGAAGTTTTTACCAATTATATCTGTTTGTTTTGCTCACACATTGTTGTCAATATAATGGAATTCTATGCGACTGTCATACAAGTGAGAGGTTTAGCTAGCTATAAAACCAGGTTTAATCCACCATTTTCTACATAAGGAAATGCCTGTTCCAAGTCAGGAATATGAGAGTTGTTTTTCATTCGTTCCATGTGTGTTAGCTTTTGATGTTGCCATTTTATAAGAGACTTTCCGTCTTTAATTTCCCTTTGGTTCGGTATATCTGTTATTTAATTTTTTTCATAACACAAATGACAAATGTATGTTGTAATTTCAGAACTGCTGATCAACTTTCTAACATAAATGTAGCGTTTACTAAGGCTGTGCCAGGTACCCCATGTAATAAATTTCTTGGATACTGTGATGTCTTTCATATTTGTAGAGAGGTCAGTATAGCTTTCATATACTGTGGATAAATTAATTTTCGTTGGTACCTAATTCGTGGTTTGAAGAAAATTTGTATTTTCGTGGATATTTGATTTCGTGGTTTTGCCAAGGTCTGCATACAAGCATATAGAAAATTTGTTCTTCGTTGAACATTTAAATTCTTAGTTCACCTGTAGCCACGAAATCCATAAAAATCGGTATCCCACGAATAATAATGAATCCACAGTATATCGACAAATTTAGATACTTGTTAATGTTAAGGTCTCTTTCAGTTGGTCATGGCGTTCCTAACAAAGACCTATGTCCCTTACCACTGATCTACCGCCTTAAATGGGCATTAGCCCCTTTTCCCGAATGCTGTCTACCGGATTAGACTTATTACCGGGTTTGTACTTACATGAGCAACACGACGGGTGACACATGTGAAGCAGGATCTGCCTACCCTTCCGGAGCACCTGAGATCACACCCAGTTTTTGGTGTGATAGTTTCCCCACATGAAACTACTAATGGATCCCATCTGACCACATGTCTCAAACAAACCTCAAAAAATCTGCAGAAACTTTCCTTATATATATATAAAATATAATACAAAACATAAAATATACGATCCAAGGATAAAAATATTTATCCATGAAACAAATTTGACAAAACAATTTCAATGATGCTGACGGATCCTCTCAGTAAAGTAGTGAATGGTATTCTGGAAAATGTGTTTGTCAATTCAGTTTCCGTAAATAATCAGGTTTTTTTTATGCAGGTTGATCCATCAGGTCCTCTCAGTAAACTAAAGAATTTCTTCCTGAACGGAGAATTAATTGATAAAGTTAAGGAATTTTTAACAGAGTACTGGTATGTTGCAATAGCAGGAGGCGTTGGACTCATTATTATATTTGTAAGTATCAACGGCATTTTATTTTATTGTGATGGAAGCACTATATAGGTACTGATGTCGTTGGTCAACGCACTGGTAATGGTAAGTTGCATTGCATACACTCATGTGTTCACATTTCGCAGTCCAATTGTTTACAATGCTTTGGTTGGTTAACCTAAAAAGTTTAGTGTCAAATCAAGATAGAATTATTTATTATAAAAATGTCTTTCAATTGGTTATTATAATTTTCCCGATTTTACCGTTTTATTTTTTCTAGAACTTATCAAAGGACGTGTTCCACATTAACCACATGGACAATTCAATTCTCTTGACATGATACTGATAATTCACAAAATTTTGCATGCATTAATTTTTGCGAGATGAATTTTTTAGGAAATGCAGCATACCGATTGGCTCCTAAAATATAAAATGGGAATTTGTATTTTTGCGAAATCTTTCCTGTCGCGAGTTTTTCAATAATAACATCTTCCCAGAAGTTTCTGAATTAACAGTACATGATGATTGTATTTTATGATCGTTTTTATAGGTTTTGATGATAAAATGCTGTTCAAAAAGTACACAGGGCAAAGTACAACCAGAACCACGACGTGTGTCCGTGGAACCATCACGTACAAGATATTAATTATTTTCCTAAACTGGTACAGTGCTGGCGTGGTGCATCTTTAATACAGTGCTAAATAATTGGACGATTTGCTCAATTGCCGTCCAGGAGATATCTGTGATACAATATGTTTTCTTATATACATTAACATTTTTATGCACGTATAGAAGAGAGATAATAATAAATGTACATATGCGTATGAAGCTTCAATACAATGAAATGAAATTCATCTTTGGATCAATTAGTTATTTCACATTTAGAAAATTGAGGATAAACGCCTTTAAACGGTCTCGATTTTTTTTTAACTCTTTATCATTCAGTGTTTTCACTTATAATTCATATACAGATCAAGACATTTTCCTTGGCAAACATTAGAATTTTTCAAATGTTTTTTTTATAAAACAAACAACACATGAACCTTACTTTATTCTGTAGATTTAATGTTTAAATCATTTTCTATTGAAGGTGATGTTAATTGTAATATTTTTTTAGTTAGTATCTCATCAGCGATCATAAGTAAAGTAAACGTTACTTTATAATTACTTTATTACTAATATTTCAAATACGAGGTAGAGCCTAACTATGATTAGGAGAAACCTTTTTGAATTAATGGTTTTCAATGCTCTTCAGTTTGGCCTTTCAACTGTTCTGATTTCAGCACCACTGGTGATACTGGTGTGATGTACTGAATTTAAAGTTTTCTAGATTTGATGTGTCATTATTTTCTAAAGTTACTCTCAAAGTTGATATATACATACTCATAATTAAATAGTGCTAATTCCACCTTCACGTTAAATTGTATATGTCGTCTTTGAATAAAATACTTACATGTATAAGGTAATTTTAACGGAAGAAAACTGCTCATAATATAAATAGTTCCTTATAATAAGAAATGTTAGATGATCAACTATCATTTATTTATAAAGCCCTTTATCATAGTTTTACAATTTTCAAATGTTGACTGCAACCGTACGGTTGCCTATAATTGCTTACATCCACTTCATTTGAAATTTGGTTGTCGCATTGGCAATTATACCACATCTCCTTATATTTATACAAACATCATTCCACTTAAAGTTCTGTGTCAAACTTTTTATCACAATTATTTAGACATGAATAACAATTACAAAAACTAGAGTTCACCTACTGTATAATTTTAAAGCGCACCTTATAATGGTATAATAGTAATCTAACTCATTAATGGAATCAAGGCAATACAATATATGAAGGTGTCATCCTTCAGATGTATTTTTCTTTCAAATGTACATTCTATCTCTAGACACAAACATGAAATCTGGTATTTTAAAATCCAAATTTAGATGCAATTATTAATTTTTAAGATTGTTATTATTTTGTCATATTTATTAGCTCTATTACATGATTATGTATTCATGCATACAATGGCATTACCTTGTCACAAGATATTATTTTTAACATATTGAACAAATTTGATCAGTTTATAGATTTTTTATTAATTTAAGAGTAGAATTAAGATTTGTACATATTCATTTTTTTTATATTTGTTAAAATAATGGCTCATCGCTCGTCATACTTTCACCTTAGTCAGCTTACATGTCGTTTATTATTTCCAGTTTAGTATGCATTTGTCACTTGCTTTGAATATGCATGTTACATATTATTATCTTTTGAATAGGAATATATAATCTACCAAAAATATAAATAAAGCATACACATCTTCCTAAAGTGTTGATGTGCAGTGTAATTGTGCATATTTTTGTAAAGTTTTTGTTGCTTACCAGAATACTTATTTTAACTGTATGACAATATTTCGTAGATTCATTACCATTAAAATAAAGGATAACTATTAAATGTCCTCATACGACTGAGAACGATTTTTGATATTCGCAAATACTGCAGGATAAATCATAAATTGCCCTAGCTTGACGAGTTATGATAAATAATTTAACAGAGAGGAACGCATTACTTATATTGACATCAAATTAAAAAGTTTAAAAACTCCATCTAGGATTCCTTACTTTGGATAGGCACTAAAATCCCTTTCTTTGGATAGGCACTAAGATTCCTTACTTTGGATAGGCACTAAGATTCCTTACTTTGGATAGGCACTAAGATTCCTTACTTTGGATAGGCACTAAGATTCCTTACTTTTAATAGACACTAAGATTCCTTACTTTGGATAGGCACTAAAATTCTTTACTTTGGATAGGTACTAAGATTCCTTACTTTGGATAAGCACTAAGATTCCTTACTTATAGGCACTAAGATTCCTTACTTTGGATAGGTACTTGCATATATCACGGAGTTTGTTTGCGTTTCCAACTCTCCTTTGCTAACTTAATCATTTGGAAGAACAAATTAAAAATGTAAATCAAAACTAAACAGACCGTGTTTTAATTATATCACTCTATCATGTAGATACAAATGAAGGTAAAAACGAAAACTGAGTAAATTGCAGTAAGTCTAAAAGGAGAAAAACCAGATGGTAGACAGGAATGGCGTCTCCTGCTGGTTGAAAATATAAGCTATGAATCAATTGCTATGATTATTTATCATCTCTTTAGAATGCATTCTCTACATGCTCTAATGGTCGTCATCCGGAATTGGTTTGGAGCTGGACATAGATTGAACAGTTCTCGAAGACTGTATGCTATTCTCCTCTAGTCAGTATTTTGATACATTTAAACCGTGTGTTTGTTTTTTTTTTAAATATTTTCATATAACATGATGCAATGTCATGATATTCTTTAAAGTACTCGAGTTATCAATAAAGAATGGATAAACATTTTTGGCGGAGACGAATTTTCGTGGATTGAAAAATATGCTGTTTTTTCCTTAATTTTCAACAAATTCTGCATACAAGCGTAAATATGACTTGTACTTTGCTGAAAACTTTAATTCATGGTTGAACTATACCAACGAAGTACATCACTTTATAGTTTGTGAATTACTGACTCGAAGACTTCAGAATATCCTAATTAGTAAAATAACTAGCGTATTGCAATACAACAATAGAAATACTACAGACAACTAATGTTGGTGATTTTGGCCAATTGTCCACAATCAGTTATAATTTTTTAAAGTATCATTTGTCACTGTGAAATACTCATGTATTGTTAAATCATTGTCACATTTGCATGCCTTTCTAAAAAGAATTTTGTGTTTGACACCTCTGTTCTCACCCTAATAAGTTTCACCTTATCTGCATACAACACATGACTTTGTTATTGATAAATGCAATGTATAGTACATGCATCTAATTGATAAAAAAATGAATTTTTGAATTTCTTGTTTGTTTTGGGTTTTTTTTAGCACGAAAAGACCCATCATGGCCGTAGTATAAATTTATTAGTCTCCATTGCCATTCTCGATAGTTTCGACGACAGATAAGGTAACTGTCAATAATAGTCTCTAATAGTCAAACATAGTTAAATCTGTGCTGCATTAGAACAATAGCGAATTCTGGAATTATAATGAATGTTTGTATTTCATTATATTAATCAGCAATAAATAAACTTTCAAATATGCACTTACTGCTTTAAATTAAATTAAATAATGTAATCATCTTGCTCGTTTTACCATGGATTTTGTAGGTTGGCTGTGTGAAATTTTGTTCAAAGACGTATAAAAACGCTGATGACGAGGAAGGTCAATACAACCAAGAACGACATTCCCCAAATCGACCTCAGCAGAAACAAACCAATCACATCGCGAACATTCACTCGACCGGAAAAAAAGCATAATTTTACCAACCATTCTTTGTTGAAATGGTTTTGAGAAATCAAATACAACAAGTCCATAACTAGCAAACATGTTCCCACAATAACCAACAGATACTTCGAAACTTTCAACATATATAACAAAAGGAAAAAAAAAAATAAAGAACGAAGAATACGATACTTACTTTTCATTGAAGTGTATAAATAGAATTAATAAGTAACAAGAAAGGACGATTTTACCGTTAGATATCCAAATTTAATGTCCGTGAAAATACATCTGAACGATGAAAGCCATTACTATTATAGTCGATCAACACTCATATGAAATGAGTGTCGAGCATCACTCAAAAGAAATTAATTGTCGAAATGCGCATATCGTGCAGTAAAATTGGTACCGTAAATGTTATTTCATTGAAGACTTTGTTAAAAATGTATGATAAAAATATGACCATATTTTAAAATGTTTTGTTTCTGTTTATATTGACAGACACTCACATTTTGTTCCTGTGTATATTGGTATACCTTCACATCTTATACCTGTGTATGGTGACATACCTACACATCTTGTTCCTGTGTATGTTGATCTACCTACACATATCGTTTCTGTGTATATTAAAATACCTACATATTTTGTTCCTATGCATGTTGACAAACTTACATATCTTGTTCATGTGTATGTCGACATACCTATACATCTTGTTCCTATGTATGTTGACATACATTAACATCTTGTTCCTGTGTATGTTGACAAACATTCACTTCTTGTTCCTGTGCATATTGATATACCTACATATCTTATTCCTGTGAATGTTGACATACCTACACATCTTATCCCTGTGTATTTTCCCAGACCTTCACATCTAGTTACTGTATATGTTGCCATGCCTACACATTGTGTTCCTTTGTATTTTGAAATTCATACATGTCCCTTCTTTGTGTATGTTGTCATGTATACACATCTTGTTCCTTTGTATATTGACATACCTACATATCTTGTTCCTGTGTATGTTGTCATGCCTACACGTCTTCTTTCTGTATACGTCGATATATAATCACATGTTGTTCCTATGTATGTTGACATACATTAACATCTTGTTCCTGTGTATGTTGACAAACATTCACTTCTTGTTCCTGTGCATATTGATATACCTACATATCTTATTCCTGTGAATGTTGACATACCTACACATCTTATCCCGAATATTTTCCCAGACCTTCACATCTAGTTACTGTATATGTTGCCATGCCTACACATTGTGTTCCTTTGTATTTTGAAATTCATACATGTCCCTTCTTTGTGTATGTTGTCATGCATACACATCTTGTTCCTTTGTATATTGACATACCTACATATCTTGTTCCTGTGTATGTTGTCATGCCTACACGTCTTCTTTCTGTATACGTCGATATATAATCACATGTTGTTCATGTGTATTTTGATATACCTACACATCTTGCTCCTATGTATGTTGACATACTTACATATCTTGTTCCTGTGTATGTTGACATACCTGCACATCTTGTTCTTTTGTATGTTGATATACCTACACGTTTTGATCCTGCATGTGTATGTTGACATACCTACACATCTGATTCCTTTGTATGTTGATATACCTACACGTTTTGATTCTGCATGTGTATGTTGACAAACCTACACATTTTGTTCATATGTACGTTGATATACCAACACATCTTGTTCCTGTGTATGTTGACATACATACATATCTTGTTCCTGTGTATGTTAACATACCTACAAATCCTGTTCCTGTGTATGTCGACAAATCTAAATATCTTGTTCTTGTGTATGTTGCAATGCCTACACATCTTGCTCCAATGTTTGTCGACATACCTTCACATCCTGTTCTTGTGTATGTTGCCATACCTACACATCTTCATCCTTTGTATGTCGACATACCTTCACATCTTGTTTTTGTGTATGTTGCCATACCTTAACATCATGTTCCTGTGTATGCTGACATACCTTCACATCCTGTTCTTGTGTATGTTGCCATACCTTCACATCTTGTTCCTGTGTATGTCGACATACTTTCACATCTTGTTCTTGTGTATGTTGCGATACCTTCACATCTTGTTCCTGTGTATGTCGACATACCTTCACACCCTCTTCATGTGTATGTTGCCATACCTTTACACCTTGTTCCTGTGTATGTCGACATACCTTCACATCCTGTTCTTGTGTATGTTGCCATACCTACACATCTTGATCCTTTGTATGTCGACATACCTTCACATCCTGTTCCTGTGTATGATTCCATACCTTCAAATCTTGTTCCTGTATATGTTTCCATACCTTCATATCTTGTTCCTGTGTATGTCAACATATCTTCACATCCTGTTCCTGTGTATGTTGCCATACCTTCACATCTTGTTCCTGTGTATGTCGCCATACTTTTGTTTCTGTATATGTCGTCATACCTTCACATCTCGTCCCTAAATATCTTGTTGTTGTGTATGTTGCAATGCCTACACATCTTGTTCCAATGTCTGTCGACATACCTTCACATCCTGTTCTTGTGTATGTTGCCATACCTACACATCTTCATCCTTTGTATGTCAACATATCTTCACATCTTGTTTTTGTGTATGTTGCCATACCTTCACATCATGGTCCTGTGTATGCTGACATACCTTCACATCCTGTTCTTGTGTATGTTGCTATACCTTCACATCTTGTTCCTGTGTATGTTGCCATACCTTCAAATCTTGTTCCTGTGTATGTTGCCATACCTTCACATCCTGTTCCTGTGTATGTTGCGATAGCTCACATCTTGTTTCTTTGTATGTTGACATACCTTCACATTTGTTCCTGTGTATGTTGTCATACCTTCACATCTCGTTCCTTTGTATGCTGCCATTCCTTCACATCGTGTTCCTGTGTATGTTGACATACCTTCACATCTTGTTCCTGTGTATGTTGCCATATCTTTACATCTTGTTCCTGTATATGTTGACATGCCTACACATCCTGGTCCACGTTTATTTTGCCTTACATACACATGTATTTCATATAAATAAAAACGAGCATAATAAATGTACAGGGAAACACATATTGTTTGCATGAAACAATTTAAATTGCTAGGATTTAATACTCTAAGCAATATACATGTTCAATTTAGTTCGAATGTGTTTATCCTCATACCCCGCACCATTTCAGATGGCCCCTTTTACAGGACCTACCTTTTGTATTTATTGTTAATTTTTTTCCCGTCCTGAACACACATGAAATATTTGTTACTGGACGTTAGGCATTCAATATTCCATCAATCAATCAAACCCAACGAATAAATAACGTTTACAAAAACCAGGAAAATAGCTACCACGAAGAAAAGTACTTCCACACTCAAACAAATACTAAAACAATTTCAAAGGAAAGAGTCATTTTACTCTTTTACATCAACAGTTTATACGATATCTTTTTAACTCTCTATTACAGGAGGCGAACACACTGCAATCTACCATATTTGTTTACTACATAGCTATGATAATAGTCAATTTAAATGTAATATTATTGTCTTTATTTCTCACTGCTTTAGAAAGAACAATGTATTTATCGCTTTACGTTAAAAATTATTTACAACTCATGGAATACAAAATTTCGGCTTCCGAAATGTTTGTACGCGGGCATACCCGTAACAGGTTGTTCTAGAAACAAATATCATGCACACTGAAATCGTCATTATCCGGATTTAATTCGAACCTTCTTTATTGGGATGTAAAAGTGTTGACCGAAACATATTTTGAATGATGCGCAACGTTTTTTTACATCCAAATAAAACTTAAGAAAGAAGATTAAATTCGCATACTTACTACTTGATGCTAAAATCTGACTTAAACATTTCAAATTCAATTACGACTTACATAAATTACATAATTAATTGCGCATTATACATTCATAGAAATTATATTTAAAAGGACAATACCTTTCATAAGGAGTGTATTTGTAGATCTTTGTCTTGCTGATAAATTCTGCCGTGTTTCTCTTTATCTATTATAATTTCCAAGACAAGCGACAAAAACGAAAAAAAAAGGTTAAAATCATCATACACGGGCGATAAGTCTTATAAGGAGTCGTTTTACTATTTCAGTAAAACTAGACAATTTAATAGGTCTTGGCATTTTAAATTTTTATCACCTGTCAAATTTCCTCCATCTATATATAACGGTTTTCAAAAGTATCGTCAATACTTGTATTTGACCCCTTTGTTCTATTGTAAGCCTTTGCAGTCGTATTGGTTGACCGACGTGATCATCAGATAGATTTTCTTTCCTAATCTAGATAGCCTTAAGGTTATAATGTCCAACTTTTGTTCAATTTGATCGAGAAGATTAAGAGGAGATAATTTTAAAAATCTTAACAGACGACGATGACGGAGGACAGACGATAAGTGATGACAAAAGCTCACACTGGCCCGTTGTGCCGGGTGAGTTAAAATAAAACTCAACTGAATATCAATATATAATCATCTATAATGTAAAATCATATTTTAGTAGCACAAAACCAGAAATGTAAATTTAATTATTCTTTTTTTCATTAAAAACATTATCTTTTAATACGGATGTTTCTACTTCGAACAAACCACACATTTGAACAGGGTGTCTTGTACAAAGGGAGGACATTTGAGCGATCCACAGTACGCCTTGACTCCAAACAAAAGGTATCCATTATCATCGCGTGAACCAGCCTCTAATACGTCTGGACTACTATCAACACATATGTACTGAGACGCACCAGCATGGCCATAGTGTCCTGACATTAGATTTCCACTATATTCGGTTTTCCAGCCAGAGTAACAATGTAATTTCCCAGGAATCATTAACACAGTCGATGCATGACTTACACGACATACTGCACATGGTACATCTTTGTTTATTAGGTTACTACCAAAGTCATTTGTTTCGTACTCCATCCCAAACAAAGATCCAAAAGCTGACTCATGACTAACCTGTCCAAGATCAGGGTCATGCGGAACACACACTGGATTAGAAGGTCGTCCTGAATTAGTGTAATGGCCGCCTGCAGCAATACCTGCAAATACATAACTCGTTCGAATTAAGCATTTAGAATTGCTTCAAACTATTCGTCTTGTTTGTCAATACAAAACGGAAAAGATACTACGACACTAAAATATACATTATATAATTATATTTCCCTCTTGATATAATTAAAGCCCTTCATAAGCTAAATAGGCATTATATATGTAAGTCGTCTAGTAGTGTAATTCATGAATATGAATATCGAAATACATTTGGATATTCAATTATCAGACGAAATACAGATTTTTTTTCTCTATGGTTACATCTGCTTTTATCCCATATGAACATATCAAAGTTTACATTAGAGAATATTAAATACATATTGATTGATTGACCTTTGTTTGGTTTCCTCTCAGTGGCAAATGTTTCAAGCAAATTCAGGGCAAGAACAAATTAACAATAAATGAAATAGATATGTTCTGCAAAGCGCTCTACTGTTAAGAACAGGTGAAAAGGCTGCCACTTGAAAACGAGGATTATTTGTATAGGGGCATCTATTTTACTTTCATAGCTTGGCAAACTACTGATCCCATTTTTGCAAATATTTTTTAAACCGTACGGAGAGTGCAACACTCAATCTCTCTGCACGAAGCATTGAACTTAAAGTCCCAATTTCGATTAGATATGACTGCGTTTTGATACCTCCGATGCAAAACAGAGGCATCCCTTGCCATGTGTACAGCTGGTCGATAGAAGGCCAGGTGACCATAGTTCTATAGAACCAGTGAACCCTTCAGATGTGTGGATGCTGATATAAAGTATATATTTAACTGCATGCATACGTAACTAAGTGTTAATTTGATCGTATTCAAATATAAGTGGATGCCTATTTGATATCCTTGGAGATAGGACAGGATTATGGAAATGAACATTCTGGCCTGGTCATAGTTGGAAAAATAGCTTTGCGTAAGATAAGATGACAAATATTCTGTCCAACTAAATGCAAGATAAACTTGGTCTCTGGTGTAGAGTTATCTCATGTGCGATCATATATACCACATCTTTTTTTATATAAGCTGTCTTTCGCAAAAAACGTCCCCCTTCCCCCTCCCCCCGCTAATCATTAATAAAATCAAATGCTCGTCTCCTAATTGTATACAAAAAGTATTGCCGTTTTATCTGTTTGAAGGAAGATACTTTGGTTGGGCTGCTCTTCGAGTATTTTGTATCTTTGTTGTCTATCTTACCCCGTGAAGACTATTCCATAAACAAGTAAGGTTGTAGGGAAATCCCTATTAGAAATTACTTTGTGCAAAGGAGGAACATAGGTTGGTCTGGAAAATGTGCATAAATACAAGACAAACCATCCATCTGAATGCACAGAAGGGTTTGTTGAATTTACGTCAATGCGACAGCAACCCAACATTACAAAAGCAAAAGGCATTATTGCATTCAATGCTATTGTATTAAATCTTACCCGTGTAAACGATTTCGGTTGTATTTGTTGGGCATTCTTTTCTTCCCCATCTGACATAAATACTTCCGGATGGATCTAAAAATATACACGTGAACACATGAGCAGACATTTCGACTATTTTTCATGCTAACTTAGTATATTTGGAGCAATCAATATTGACGTAAGATTAGACAGTATTTTGCTTTTATAACTGCTCCAGACTATAAAAAAAATGCCAGAAATCAAAAGGAAATCACCAAAGAATGCGTGTCGACTAATAAAATGTCCATCCATGTTAAAACCATCATAGAGCATGGCAGGGAATAATTATTTCTAGTTGTATAGGAAAATTCAGACCTTTTATTTTATTGTAAGCGGGCCTATTCTACATTGTACACGTTCGAAAAACAGCCATTTTGATTAATAATGGATTACTATCAAAATTTCCCCCTTTCAAACGTGTACTCCACGTATAGGTACATGTACGCTTCGAACGAAAAGCATCAGTTCGAAACGTATCCAGTTGTTTACCGGCTCAGGCTCCAAAATGAAAAAAAGAAAAGAAAATATATTAAGCAATCTTTCGAGTTTATTGGACTTCATGATTTCATGCACTGAACTTGTAGTCTCTTTAAGCGCATGTGTTTAAACACATACTTCCATAATCAGTAATGATCTAGATGAGGAGTAAAAATAAAAAATTCTTGGTAATATAAGTGAAGTGAGTGTGCATACAAACTACGTACGGAAACGAGTTGATACATGTCATAATTTGTATGAATTATGGAAAATAGTGCATAAAATGTACCGCAGGCGAGTAGATGTACTATATTTATATTTTCGATCTTTCCAGTATTGTGGAAAATAAAAATAGAGGCGCAACATTATAAACTACTGTAATTGCAATATCAAAATAAGAGCAAGAACACATTGAATCGGTGAAAATAGGTTAAAATGTTTAAAAATATTTACTTAAGAAAATCAATCGAAAAAAAAAAGTAAAATTGAAAAGTTAATCTTCAGTCATACCAAACTAGTTCTCAAAACGTCCGAACCTTAAAAAACGTAAAACGGGTTGTGGCATGGCTAGAACGTAAAGCTTTGGCCGGACAATGTCTATAATGCGACCCTAATTAGTTCTTAAACTGTTCTCGGTACGTCCATCTCGTTCAGTTGTACTGGTAATTTGATAACTAGTGTTTAATTTATTTTTGAAATGGTGATACTGCATATGGTGAAATGCTTTATGAATGTCTGATATTCCGTTTGATACCTATGGTGTTATATTGATATTCGTTGTCATTGTTATAAGCTGAAGTACAGCATGAACATAGATATGTTAATATAATATGTATTTTATTTCCCTCTATACACACTAGTACTGTGATCATGCTCACTGAAGACACTCCAAGTCCCCTCCAAAGCTGCAAGCTTAACCATGTTTTTTGGGCATATAACTAACCAAATTAAAAACCCATGAGAAAACGGCCTCTTTTTATACCAAACCCTGTCTGATTGTACGTTTAAGAACTGCATAAGAATTCAATAACGTTCTCAAAACGAGCAGAGCATACAAAGAACCTACTGCGAACGTTTTGAACTGAGAAGTAACGTGTTGCTAACTTGTTCAGAACTTGATATTTTGTTTTGATCGTATTTAGACGGATTAAAGACGCACTAAAGAAGTATTGAGGTCGAATTAGGTCTGTGTGTGAACGGAATAAATGTGCTAAAAACGGATTCAGTATGTGTGCACACGCACATCCAATTAATGCACGACCACACCCCGTCATAGCATGTCCATAGTGCATGCCAAGTACGGCAATTCCGTTCGTAGTTGGTCCATCTAGTTTAGGTTACGTTGCCACTGCGTCTAATTCCAGGACGGGATGATTGCCCAAAAATGTTGAGCAGGTTCAAAGTTCTGGAGCAAAAAAAAAACACCCATGAAGTTCGTAAACAGACCATAAACAGTTGCTTCTATGCCCATTCCGTTTACATGCAGTTGAAGCCCGTAAGGCTACATTTGTTATAACATTGTGAGAACGAGTTTGGTGTGACGGGGCATTAAAAGAGGGGTCCACGCATCAAGCGCCTGTGTTTAGCAGATTTATTTTATTACATGACTAGAAACGTCTGCAGAAAGGTCAAGTTTGAACTCAAATATAATAATAGTAATAATAAACGCAACAAACTTTAATTCAATTTTGAGTCCAAGCAAGTGCAGCCCATGATTTAATTGGATTAGACTACGGCTTTGTTTTCAAAGCGAAAAAAAGCGTCAAATACGAATGGCCGTTTTAATTCAATTTGAAATATGTAATCATCCGCTAGTGACATTTCTGTTTTAAAGCGTCTCGATCCAAATAAATAATCAATAAAACAAACATGATTTTGAAGAATTGTATTACATTTTCGAATTTGAAATGACGATGTTAAGAAATAGGAAATAACCATATAAATGAATAAATAAATATGTAAATACATAGTGAATGAACACTTACTATTCTGAAAAGTTGTTATTACTGACGCCTGACTCTGAATCTGTCTATCCTGACTCTGAATCTGTCTATCCTGACTCTGAATCTGTTTATCCTGACTCTGAATCTGTTTATCCTGACCTATGACCTTTTTATTCAGTGCATTAACTGTAGTTTGTAACTGACTCACAGTGGCCTTTAGGAACTGAATATCACTCTGCATTTGTTGGTTATTAGCATAATCAGGGTCAGTCAATAAAAGTCGCTTCTCGTTGATAATTTGTGATTCTGAGTTGATACACGTAGCAAGCATGCACCACACAAGTAAACATCTCAGATTACATGCCATACTGTGGAAATCTCGCATACAATGTATACTTACAATGTACGTGTATATAAATCTGCTGATAAGAACATACGATATGACAAATTTATGAATATATGCCTTGTTTTTCGGATGACCTATTAGTTCTTTTAGACAATATCTCGTCAAAATAATCAAACCACAAAAATAATAAAAAAAATACTGAAGTACAAAACAAATTAAAAAAATGCCATTTTGGTGCGTGAGTTGGGCGGGATCGTAACACATTCCATACCTTGTGGACCGTAATAATGAAAGTCTTCAAAGCTTACAGTGACAATGTGTCAGAAAAGTCAACTCGCCAATTTCCTGATTTCCCGGCCTACAGTATTTTATTTACACTGGCTAATATGGTGTGCCTTTAATCGTTTTATAATTATGAGGAGTACATGCACTGTTTGTCATGTATAGATAGGCTCGTACCCTGGACCAGTTATCAAATATAGTCTTTTCCCCTACTCTTTTTGGTGATATATATATTGACATTTTAGTCTTAGGTGCATGGTTTTTTTATTAGTTGTTATTGGCTTTAACTAGCTGTCAGTAACTGCAAGTACTCTCAGATCTGTACTTGGTGTCTTTTTGTTGTGGGGATTTATAAGTACCCTGCCACGTTCACTCTGTGTTTTTGATAGATGTATTTCTGCTTTGTATCCATCTGATGAGTAAAGCTCTTTTCAACTTTTTATAGTTTGTTCTTATGTTGTACTGTTACACCACTGTCCCAGGTTAGGGGAGGGTTGGCGCCTTTTAACTAGTTTAACCCCATCACATTCTGTATGTGCCTGTCCAAAAGAGGGGCGAAAGATACCAGAGGGACATTCAAACTCATAAATCGAAAATAAACTGATAACGCCATGGCTAAAAAAGAAAAAGACAAACAATAGTACACAAAGCACAACATAGAAAACTAAAGACTAAGCAACACGAACCCCACCAAAAACTGGAGGTGATCTCAGGTGCTCCGGAAGGGTAAGCAGATCCTGCTCCATATGTGGCACCCGTCGTGTTGCTCATGTTAGTAAAAATCCGGTAAATAGTCTAATTCGGTAGGTCATATTCGTGAAAAGGGAACGGGATTGTAGTTACGACATTAGGAACATATCCGCTATCATCTGTGAAACGGATATTCCATAACGGTCAACCAACTCGCGATTGCGTCCGTAAAATTTACGAAGGGATGATTTCAACTTCACCATTTGGGACTCTTGATTTAATAGCTTCCTTGTGAGCAGCAACACTCTATTAAGGAAATCATGATAGGAAATACAAGCCCGGGAATATCGTATCAATTGGGAGATATATACTCCGTATGCAGGCGCTGCTGGAATGTTGCTACATAGAAATGGAAAGTTCACAATTGGGAAGCTGAAATCATCTCTATTGTCGTAAAGTTTTTTTTCCAACCGACCCTCATTGTAAATTTCTAGATGTAAGTCAAGATATGAGGCAGACTTAATTGTATCTGTTGTATCCTTTATCTCCAGTTCGATGGGATAGATGCGTTCAACATAGCCACCAAATTTTGAATTATTTAGTGAGAGAACATCATCTATATAGCGGAAAGTAAAGTTAAAGGATACTGCTAACTTCTTTTCTTTCTTCCTAAGAAGTTCCTGTATGAAGTCAGCCTCATAAGAATAAAGGAACAAGTCGGCAAGAAGAGGAGCAAAATTGGTTCCCATGGGAATGCCGATAGTTTGTTGAAAAATACGTTCTCCGTACCAATATGTTGTCAATCAAGAAATCAAGCATCTTGAAAATGTCAGTTTCAGAGAATTTTTTGTTTGAATCAGAGTGATTTTTTACAAAGTAGGATTTATCCCTCCCTAAGACAAAGATACTTGTATCTACGTTGGCCATTCTTTTTTTATGAACCAAAGCAATACCAACTCTTTTAATTTGTCTTTTAGTTTGGAATGGGGAATACTTGTGTAAAGTGTAGAAAAGTCAAATGTTTTAATACTATTGCAAGATGAAAGAGTCTTAGATTTTATGTACTCTAAAAGATCTTTGGAATTTTTTAGTATCCACATCTGATTCACGCCACCTCTAGAATAGGCAGGTTCACAATAACTTTGAAGCCCGGCTTTGATTGCTGATAAAATTGATATTAATAATTTAGAAAGAGGTTTCGTGGAGCACTTGGAAGACCCAGCAATATACCGTTGTTTGTAAGGACACTTGTGTAGTTTAGGTATCCAATACAGTGATGGAAGATCCAGTTCTTCATCTTTGGTTGAAATTCCAAAGGAACATAGAACAGACCTATGATTATCCAGGATT